GAGGTAAGGGATTAAAAATTTACTGATGGGGTACAGTGAACACTGTTCTAGTGACAGGCACACCAAAAGCCCAGACTTAAGCATTATTCAAAGTATCCATGTGACAAAAACTTTTGTACCCCCTTAATATTTTGAAATTTAAAATTTTTTTTTTACCCAAGGGCATCATCCTGCACCAACATCTAGGGTTTAGACTTAAATGGAGCACTGTGGAATGGTCATACGTTTATCATCCGTATCTTTCTGCTTCGTTCAGTCTGGGAATGGGGAGAACTTTTGAACAAGTCGCTCCATAATTGTAATAGAAATATGCACGAGGTATCCACTTGGAAGACGGAAATGACAGCTTACGTGTATAGCAAGTTCACTTCTCTGAGCCCACAAATAATTTGGCCTTGTCCACATAAGCCACCTAGTAGATCTCTTCTCAATGCCGTTATGCCCTCTGGCCTTTAAACATATGGATTTGAATTAATGAATGCCTGGGGAAAGAAGAAATATTTGAGCAAAACACATAGTTTCCCTCAAGAGTAATTTTTCGATGCAGCAAGTTGCAACCCCGGCTTTCTCCTGTGGCTCTCACTTTCTCTCCAGCATTGCTCTTTCCTATGCAAAACAGAACTGGAAGAGAGGAAAGAAGCAGCCAACGTTACCCAAGCAAGTTAGGCAGTGCCCCAGGCCAAGACATGGGCAAGGTTATTGTACTGCTACTGCTGCAAGACCCCCATTGCCAGACTGTTCAGAACACACTGGGTCAAGGGCACTGCAGAAGTCTAAAAATAGTGCTCGCGTAGTGGGAGATGATTTCTCAAGGATGCATGGAAAATGATTTTCCCCTCAACATTCCAAAGCCATAGCCTGAATGCCTGCATGTTAAAGAGATTTATCACAATGGAGACTTAGGAACTTTACTCTTCGTGGAGCAAAACCTGGTCATTGATTGTTTCCCGTCTTCCCAGACACGTCTATCAGCTTTGTTTCTCATTTGTTGCAAGAAGTGCTGAGAAAGCTATTTGTCACTTTCCTTGTGGGCTATTAGTGTGTTTTCCTCCAGCCATTGTGACTAATTTATCATAAGCAGGTCATCTCTGATGAGAATACTGAATTGTTCTCATGAGTGGGCGATAATTGAGTGGAAGAGTCTACACACCCCATTTATTTCCTTCCTTTGGCTCTTAAATTGCTGTTCACTGTTGCCATCTCTGCGTCTTCCTTGCACCTTCCAGGGCCCTTTTGAAATGAGTCCTTCACCACCCGAGACCTCACTGCTCCTGCGGTCCTCTCTATCTCCTGATTTGGAAGCTCACCTCTGTCATCAGACAGACTTGGAAGCAAACTGCAGAGGCTTCCAAATGAGACAGACATTAGTCATTCTGAGTTTCCAGAGAACCTTGGGATTCTCTTAGGTTTTGGAAGTCCAAGAACGCCAGCCCAAGGCAAAACTGTCAGGGACTCTGAAATTAGAGACTGTCATGAAAGATTCAGGACTTGATAAGCTGGGGACTGTTGTAATAGAAAGACCATAAAGAGAGTGCCGATGGCGGGCACTGCCACTGCTTCCCATCACAGAGTGATGATGGCTGTGTGCTGACCGGCAGCAGTTTTCCTTGCCCAGGCCTCTTGCTGACCAGTGTTAATGCACCAGGAGGACAGTAAGCTTGCTTTCGTGCCAACGGAACCCAGGACCATGCACCACAGGCACCTCCCACAGCTGGCAGAGTGGACAGGCCCCCAGCAGCACTAGGGCAGGTCACACTGCAGAGTGAAAGCCATCTTGGGATCCCAATACCTGAGCACTACTTAGTGGCAGAGATGAGATGGTGTATTCCCAAACCCTGCCTTAGGCTATGGCATGGGCCCCTGGCTCAGTGGCTCGTGCCTGGAAACCTACCACTCTGGGAGGCTGAGACGGGTGGATTGTTTGAGTTCAAGAATTGGAGACCAGCCTGAGCAAGAGTGAGACCCTGTCTCTCCTAAAAATAGAAAATTAGCTGCGCGTGTTGGCTCATGCCTATAGTCTCAGCTACTCAGGAGGCTAAGGCAGGCAGATCGGGATCACTTGAGCCGAGGAGTTTGAGCTTGCTGTGAGCTAGGCCGACACCACAGCACTCTAGCCTGGGCAACCGAGCAAGACTCTGTCTCCCAAAAAAAAAAAAGGCAGTGGTTTGGATGTGAGATGGAAGGTCATCTCTCAGGAGATTCAGCTAATAAACACATATTGAGCACTGCTGTGTGCAGGACACCTGCTCAAATCAGTAGAGAACAAGACCCAGTTCCTGCTAGGGGGAAAGGCTATCTGTTTAGCTTTTGGCAAGGGTCAGGTCAATTTTGAGATGACTCTGGGGGGAAACCGCAGCAAGGAAAAATCGCCTTTCTCTGATCTAGTGGTCAGAGATCTGAGCAAACTGGGCTGTGCCTACATTTAGTGGCTCATTCTGAGAGGTTCAGGACGCCAGTTGTAATTAGAGATATTCTTTCTATTACTTAAATTGAAACAACTCATTGAATCCTTAATTAATGTCTTGAAACTACCTTGGGATACAAAGTGCCAGAGAAGTTATTTTAAGCTCTAAATATGACTGTGAAGTCCCAGGGAGCAGTTTGCTCCTGCGTTGACTCTAGAATGTGCGAGAAGGCTCGCGCTGTAGTAAAAGTCATTTTAAACGCAACTGGCAAAATGCTTTAAAGTATCTTCTCCACTTGGCTTTCTCCCAGGGTTTTCTCATCGGCCTCTATTAAAACATTCATCCTTGATTTACCATCACCCTTGATCAAGCCCTCAGTCAAGTTTTTTTGGTGGGAAAAGTTTAGTGAAAAGAGAAGTTGCTCCATTCTGGGCCCATCTGTAAAATATGTAGCTTATCAAATGCAGGCTACAAGCAATTATGAAACTTCCCTTTGGGGAGTGCGTTTTCATCTTTAAAGCCTTAGAAGTTATAAAAGAACAGATAAAGCTGCGCTGGAAGGCAGCCAGGCCAACAGTAAGCTCTGCAGAACATCCACTTAATGTCTACAGTCTGAGTCTCTGCTGCCTTCAAGACGTAACAAGGGCAGGTGTTTCCCACCTCACGCTCCTTTCTGTCCGGTCTCCCCCTCGCAGTGAATGAGGAGGAAGGCACTCACTGGCAGAGCACATGAATTTAATCACCAAAAGGATCGTTCAAACAAGGCCCATCAATTAGAGCTAGATTAAAGAGGCTTTCCCTTAAATTCCTGGGAAGTTCTCAGAAGTTTGCTCGGAAGGTCTTGTCTTCAGAAAGAGTCAGGAGAATTTTATTAGGTCATTATCTGGGTGGATAATGTCTGTCTCTCAACTTCAAGCAGAGAAAGTATTTCACATCTGGGAAATTTTTAAATGCCCCTTTTTTTCCTAATTATGCAGCTGTTCACATCTGCAGACCCTTCCCTCATATGGAATTGTTTTTCCTTCCCTTTGATAAGTGTCTTGGCTGACCCTCCAGATTGAGCTGCAATAGTCTAAGCCAACTCATGACAGATGTAAACTCTCCGGAGACCACTATTTTTTATTTTGCCCACTTTATAGTCATGTTTGGAAACATTAGTATTTATGTGAATGAATTCAGAGAATATGTTTGGCAAAATGAATCTATTCATGTTAGTGGAGAGAGGACCACGTGATAGAATCACTTAGAAACCTATAAATATATAAAACAAAAAAAAATGACTGGAAAGCTAAAATCCAAAGAAAATCTTACAGATTTCGTTTTATAATGCATTTGGTTTTCTGATGCTCTATATATTCTTAGTTAAATTGGAAAACATAAGGATGTTTAAGTTCAGAATGTGCAGGAAATAACCGACTATATTTTAAAAAGAAAAAGTAGTGCAGATTATCTGCCAGGGGGATCCTCAACTCTGGCTGCATGTTGCTAATCTGTGGAGTGTCAGAAAGTGCCAATGCCCAGGCTTCACCCCCTGAGATTCTGAGTTAGCTGAGCTGGGTGGGGCCTGGCAGCCATGCCCAAGGTCCCAGGGGATGCCTATGCATAGCCCACTTTGAGAATTCTGTACTTGCTAAGTTGGCTTTTCTCGTATTTAATAAGGTTCTTCTTCCCACTTAGCACACTCTACCTAAAAAATAACTGAATTTTTCTGTGGACTGAAAGGTCAGTCCATTTGCACAGTCATTCTGAAGGCAGGACACACTCTGATGGTGCCACCAGAGGTGTGACCTCAGCGTCATGATACGTGCAAGCTTAGAACAATGCACCCTCTTCTCTGTTAGAACTCTGGACTTGAAGCCCAAATATTTGGGTGGCATCCCTGCTCTGTTATTTCTACTCCTGGTGACCTTGGTTAATTACAAATATTGGGCACATAAGAGGACACGTGAGAACAGATTTTGTCATCTGTGCGATGCTATGGAATGCATGAATTATTATGGACACTATAAACGCTCTAAGGATGACCCTAAGTCCTGGGGCCGTCTCCTCAATGGTCCAGACCCAGCCCCTACATGGGCCTGGACTCTCAAGGGGATCTTCCAGGACAGAAGCCCTTGAATCCCAGATATGCCAAGCCAGGGCCAAGGAAGTGACTGTCAGTGTATGCCAAGGCATTCCCTGGGACCATCCGTATCAGGAACACTGTCTGGTTGTGGAATTCACCCTTAAGACACTGGCTGCAGTGAGCATTCGGACTCAGCACTGGGAAGCAAGCTCTCTTCTCATTTGGCAGCACCATGAGCTGAGGGCTGGAGAGCTAGCGGAAGGTAGCGGCCCACATTACCAGCCTGGACTCAAGTCCCAGCTCTGCCTTGAATAGCTATTTGGCTTTGTGCACATTACTTCACTCTGTGCCTCAGTTTCCTCATCAGTGCAATGGAGATAATAGGAGTGTCTACCTTGTCCGGTTTTTGTAAAAATAAAATGAGTTAAAGCCCTGTCATGGGGTGTGGCTTACAGTAAGTTCCAGATAGGGGTTGGCTACTGTCACCAGACAGGCCTAACCTGTGTGCCCTCTTCTCCCCACCCCCTCAGTGCCTAGCCCCTCTTGTAACGGCTTTGACAACACCCTTTCAAGACCTTGCCGGGTGCCCCTAGGAAAGGAAGTCTGCTTCATAGCCACCGTGCGTCTGGCAACGCCCCAGTTCTTAAAGGCAAGTAACTTTGATAAGAGATAGTTCATTGCGTGGAGCTATTAGGATTCACAATTTGTGATATATAATTAATTGCTTTTATGAGAGAAGATAAAATTGAAATGCAGTTGTCACTGGCTTTGAAACTCTAAAATGTCTGGTGCCTGTGTCTGCGCACGCGCCCTTCCGCCTGCCCAGTTTCCTGCGAGTTATTTTGTTTGACAGCGGCATCAGTTGCTGTTCAGCCGACAGAGATACTGTTTGATGACTCTGTAAATTTTCCTACCTTTCACGCCAACGTGAATGCCACTCAGGGCAGGCATGGGTGAGAACTGGTTGTCTGTATTCTCACGTCTGTGATGGCTTTAACATCGATGGCATGAATGGTGAGTGAAATGAGTAACTCAGATTCAGATGAAAAGCCATTCTCCACATGTTTACCACACTTCTCTATAATGGGAAGGGCTGGCGTGACATTTTGGCTCCTAGGTATTTTTCCCCAGCTTGTGAAATAAATTTAGTATCAGCTAATACCGAAATTAGCTACAGATGATGCGTTTCAGTCCAACACGCCTTGGAGACTTGGCATCTTCGAGAAGTTAAAACAATTTTAACTTCTGTTACCCACCAGGCGTTCCTTCTGAACAAACCCAGGGCGAGCATCTGGCACCCCAAGCAACGTTTTTTTTTTCCCCCCCCTTCTAATACAGGAAATGTGCATAGTTGACGAACCTTTAGAGGAATTCACTTCAAGGCATAGCTTGGAATGGAAATTTTTATTTCTGGATCACAGGTTTGTGAAAAGAAAAATATATTTGGGTTGGGTCCTTCTCAAGTGTTGTGTGCAGGAGCCAGGCTCTCTTTGGGAGAGAAAAGTCAGGCCTGGTCTATTGAAGGAGAAGGATTCTCTGGCATCAGGAAAGTCATCCCTAGTCAAGGAGGAGGCGGTGTCCTTTTGACTGTATTTGCCCCATTTTGTGAATATGTTCAATGTGGGGGTCAGATGCCTTAGCCTGGAGGCATCTTTGGGCTACTGCCTATTTGGGGCCCCGCCCAGTCCCCAGTTAGGCAGGACCAGATGTCCCAGAAACCTCTCATCTTTTTTCTTTCAACACCCCTTCATCCTTTCACCCAATCTTTGTTCTTTTTTCCTTTGTAACATAATTCACAGTTTAAGAACTACAGATCTCCTCCCCCTGCCCTTTAATTTGTATTATACCTTGGTGGGATTTTTTTGGGGGGGAGGAATGGGGGTTTGAGATGGACTCTCACTATGTCACCTGGGCTGGAGTACAGTAGCATATTATAGCTCTCTGCGCCCTCAAACTCCTGAGCTCAAGCAGTGCTCCCCAGTAGCTGGGAATACAGGGTGTGTGTCCACCATGCCTGGCTAATTTTTCTATTTTTAGTAGAGATGGGGGTCTCACTGTTGCTTAGACTGGTCTAGAACACCTGAGCTCAAGCAGTTGTCCCACTGTGCCCTCCCAGAGAGCTAGGATTACAGGCATGAGCCACTATACTCAGTTTATAGCTGTTCTTAATTATTCAGTAATAATAAAGTTTATTATTATTTGGGTTTGGTTATGCCAAGAGAAGGCAGTGTCTTGATGGCAAAAAAAAAAAAAAAAAATGAGCTATTTGGGAAACACAGCCTCCCTGGTTTGACCACTACAGAATTATTTCCCTTCCTTCATTGTTGAAAGGTGAGGCCTCCATGTTGATCATTAAATACACAAACTGTACTCTGCCCATTTAATAGATGCCATGGAAAGGTGTGTCCTTTCTGCTGACAAATTCCCCTGCTCCTTATGCAGAGCCCCTCCAATCATAGGATACCTGCCTTTTGAAGTGCTGGGGACCTCAGGCTACGATTACTACCACATCGATGACCTGGAGCTCCTGGCCAGGTGCCACCAGCACTGTGAGTACCGCTTGCCAAGGTCTGGTGTGCGGACCTTGCACTTGCTCCATGGGGGGCTAGACAGCAGGGCTCTGGGCTCTTTAGCCTCATTCCTCTTTGCGGCGGGGAACTTGGTTTTCTCTGAAGTGATCTGGGGTCATGGTGGCGGCCCTTGTCTGCATTTACCCCCACATTGTGGTTCAACCTAAAATCGTGCCCCAAACCCCAACACCTTCCAGGTATCATCCAGATGGGCACACTGTTTAATCTTAATTAAGAAACTAAGCTCTCATCTCTTTCCACTCTCCTGCCTGTCTGCTCTACTCTTCTCTCTACCCCTCTTTCCCCTCACTCTTCTCTACTCTCCCTCTCTCTCTTCTCTTCCCACTCTCCCCTCTTTTCTCTTTTCCTTAATGCTGCTCCACAGCCTCCCTCCCCCACCAATAAACCTTTTCTTCCAAAAAAAAAAAAAAAAGAAACCAAGATGATGCCAGGAATTTTTTTTTGTTATGCAGTACATTTTAAAGACAAAATGCTAAATTCATGTAATTGTTCAGTAGACGTCTACTGGTCACCAAGGATAGGTCAGATTCTGAGCTGGGCCTGGCAAGTAAAGATGACCATCATCTTCTTGCTGTCCTCCAGGGCAGGGTCTTTTGGGAAAGCCAGAAATAGGTGACTTGGTAGGGTATCTCGGAGCAATGAGGGTGTGTGCACAAGACATTGGGGAGGCCCCTCAAACAATTGATGGGGGATCAAGAAAGGCGCTCTGCCACAGAAGAGGGGAACATGCTGGCCAGCATATAGGGGTTATGATTCAGGGGAATGAGAATTACACATTTATTGTCCAGGTTCCCACTCAGCAAGACAGCCAAGAACTAACCCCTGAAAGCCGTATTTTCTATTCTTTCTTTCTATTTTTTTTTTTTTTTGAGACAGAGTTTCACTATCTCCCTTAGTAGAGTGCCATGGTGAAATAGCTCACAGCAACCTCAAATTTTGGGGGTCAAGCGATTGATTTTCTTTCCTCAGCCTCCCAAGAAGCTGGAACTACAAGCACTCACCACAACTCTCGGATTTTTTTTTTAGAGATAGGGTCTTGCTCTTGCTCAGTCAAGTCTTGAACTCGTGAGCTCAGGCAATCTACCCGCCTCAGTCTCTCAGAGTACTAAGATTACAGGGGTGAACCACTGCACCTGGCCCGAATGCCGTATGTCCAGTGCTGACTTTTACCTTTGAACAGGAACATGTGGCATATTAATAACATTGACACATAGATCTTGATGCATGAATTGACCACTGGCATTGTATTTTAATAGATGCCTTATCTGTACTACCCATTAGAACTTTCTCTTCCATTCTCTTCCTGTTGAAGGAAGAAGAGGCTTGAGTTTCTCTTGTATCAGCTGCTGGAATTTCAGATCCATTTTTAAAACTTGTACACCTTGTTCCTCAAAGTATTGTCCTAGGACTAGCTGCATAGGCACTATGAGGAGTTTGCTGGGCTTGTGGGATCTCGGATTCCCCGCACCCCCATAGTAGAATCAGGTCTGCTGAATCCCAATATCCATTTTAACAACATTACCAAGTGATCCGTGAGCACTTTAAAGTTTGAGAGGCATGGCCGCTTTAAATCTTGGGTTGCTTCTGACTCTTCTAACAGAGAAAAGCCACTTGCGCAGAAGAATTAGATTCAGCATTTAAAAGCTTGAGCAAGATGTTCTTGCTCTCTGGAGCCCACACCCTCCCTCTTCTGGGCTTCTACCCTCTGCATTCTCCAAAGCTTGAGTTTCCTAGTTAGATTTCTCTTAATTGCCTAAACAGGTGTTAAATTCCTAAATCGTCCTTCTTCCTCAGATGTATAGTCTGTCTTTCTGCCCTGCAAAGGCTACCACACCACCATCAGCTTCCATTTTGTTCTAGTTACCCCCAAGAAATCTCCACCAGACATAACCTGAGGAGGCTCCAGGCAGCTCTGGGACCGGGGAGGTCTGGAAGAGGGGCATCTGTGCTAGGCTTTTTGTTTGTGTAGACTGAGTATGAATTGCTGACTGACGGTGCAGAATCTGTCCAGAGTTTGCCCCTGTCAGGTAGCTTTCGGGTCCAGTTCTCCCAGCATACTGTCCTGGGCTCAGCACCTGCAGCCCTAAGGACAGCCACCTGCAGTGGGAAGATAAACACCAAGAAAACCTGGGCCTCTTTTTAACTAAACCTCCATATCTGCCCTTCTATGAAAATCTCTTCATGCAATGAGCTTTGGGGAATATATGTAGATCGCTCTTCTGTCACTTAAGAATTCATTATAGTTTACCTTTGTCCTGACAGTCACTTAAAATAAAGTGCAACCAGAGAACCAAGCCTTGTTAGTACTGTCCTCTTGAAAGCTCGGGTTAGAAAAAAAGGCCATTTTCATATTAACGTTTGTTAGATACAGAATCTATATTCTACCAACAGTGATGCAGTTTGGCAAAGGAAAGTCATGTTGCTACCGGTTCCTGACCAAAGGCCAGCAGTGGATCTGGCTGCAGACTCACTACTACATCACCTACCACCAGTGGAACTCCAAGCCCGAGTTCATCGTGTGCACACACTCAGTGGTCAGGTAGGTGTGGGTGGGGGGTCTGGGGTGCTGAGGCCCTGCTGGCGAGGCAGAGCAGCAGCTTCCTCAGGTGGGCTTGGTTTCTGAGGCTCAAGCCAGGACTGTCCCCTGGCTCAGCCCCTCCCAGGCACATGCAGGCCCTGTTCTCCAGGGCTGAGACTCCCCTCAGGCTTTGGGTCAGGCCCCTTGACAGCCCCCTGGACTCTCTTGGGCTGCCAGGATCCTGCTCAGTAAGTTACCGCTGCACTGACCTACTTCCATGTTCCCCTCCTCTCCGTCCATCCCCCAACCATCCCTTGTTGCTGCTTTGAGAAGAAAATGTAAATTTTGCTTCTAAATAACTCAAACACACACTCCCTTGAAATTTTTTTTTTTTTGACACAAAGAGTCTCACTATGTCGCCCTAGGTAGAGTGCTGTGGTATCACAGCTCATAGCAACCTCAAACTCTTGGGCTTAAGCAGTTCTTTTGCCTCAGTCTCCCAAGTAGCTGGAACTCCAGGCGCCCACCACAATGCCTGGCTATATTTTTGTTGTTGTTGCTGCAGTTGTCATTGGTTAGCAGGCCCGGGCTAGGTTCACACCTGCCAGCCTCAGTGTACGTGGCCAGCGCCCTAACCCTTGAGCTATGGGCACTGAGCTGCTCCCCTGGATTTTTTGTTGTTGTTGTTGCAGTTTGGCCGGGGCCAAGTTTGAACCCTCCGCCCTCCCTATATGGGGCCAGTGCCCTACTCACTGAGCCACAGGTACAGCTACCACCCATTTTTTTTTTTTTTTTTTGCGACAGAGTCTCCCTATGTTACCCTAAGGAGAATGCCATGGTGTTACAGCTCACAGCAACCTCAAACTCCTGGGCTTAAGCAATTCTCTTGCCTCAGCCTCCCAAGTAGCTGGGACTATAGGCGCCCACCACAACACCTGACTATTTTTTGTTGCAGTTGTCATTGTTGTTTAGCTGGCCTGGGCTGGGTTTGAACCCACCAGCCTCAGTGTACATGGCTGGCGCCATAACTCTGTGCTGTAGGTGCCAAGCCAACTCCCCTGATTTTTAATGCTTAAGAAACCTCTGCTAGCAACTGAGCTGTGTTGGGAAAACAACTGGACTACCAGTGAGCCCAGGTCTCCCCTGGTGGCCTCAGGGAGCCTCAGCCCAAGGCAAGTGAGCAGGATCGCAAAGGGGGAGGCAACACAGCCAGTGTCTCTCTCACACACCCAGCCTGTGCAGGGCTGCAGCCCCCCCAAGATAGAGGAGAAAAGTCATTGTCCCTCCCGCAACCAGAAATTTTAAGAACATAAATCAGTTTTAAGCTGGTTTAGAAAAGATCATTTGAGAGAAACAAAGAAAGAAAGGTGAGAGGGACTGCATTTCATGTTTATAATCAGGTGACACTTGATTTTATCACCATGCAAATGTCATGGTGTGTACTTACACTCCCTATGCGTGTGATTGCCACATACCTGCTGTACACAGTATAGGCTGTTGTTCGCAGGCTGCGAGCCTGCACACCGTGTCCCTGTACTCAGTTCATAACTAGGAACACAGAAAGGTACAGCAAAATACAGTGCTGTGATCTGCTGGGACCGCTGCCACGTGGGAAGCACACAGTTGACTGGAGCCTCATTGTTCAGGGCACGGCTGTGTACTCATAGCAGACCAGCGTAGACAGACCCTGCACCCCCACCCCGTACATACTCAGAGTCTTCAAGTCAGTCACGCTTCTTTAGTGTTCGGGAGGGAGGAGAAACACTGGTTTCCTCGGCCAGCAGCCCTCGTCCCATCTCACCGCACTTGACGTTGCCCTGAAGGACTTGACACAGCCAGTGGTCCCTGACTCCATGGCCGTGTTCCTTCATCCATATTCCACCTCTACTTGCCTAATTAATGATTATTCATCCTCCAGAGCTGAGATCAAGCATCCCTTTCTCACTTTCCTCACTGCCACCTGCCCAGCCTCTGCCAGAGGGCCCTTTGCCCCAGGGAAAGCTGGGCATTGTCTATACCTCATTCCTCAAGCTCTGCCCTCCCCTGGCTGTTCCGCTCCATCTCCCATTTCCCAAATCTTAGAAAGAAACTCTTGGAGTAAGGCGGGAGGAAACAGAGTCAATAAATTAGGTGATAAGCCTTGTGGAGGCCCAAGAGCTATGTCCCACCTGAGCCCTCCCCTGGCCTGTCCCTGTACACATGGGGCTCAGGCGTATGGGGTTCCTGCATTGAGTCATTTTACCCATGCTGTTGAAAAAGTAGGTCCACAAAAGCCCATCAGTGCTCTGGGCCTGTCTAGTTCTGGGTTTGTTTGAGAGGAAACTTTCTGAGAAATGTAATTACAACAGAGTTTTGTGTCACTCTTCCATATGCACAGTCCAGACTGAACAGGTTTTAAGAAAGCCTTCTAATTATTTAAAGGCTGAAGCTTAGCCCAGAGATGAAAATGTGTTCTTAAAAGACAATTACAATTGGAGATTTCAGAGGAGTAAAAAGAATAGGGAAGGAGAGGGGAATAAAAACATCCTGGAAATAAAAATATGTCGAATGTAATATTAGAAATCACTCCGAGGGAATTTAGGCGGGGGAACGAAACTCATTCAGACAAGTAAGAGACCAGGCGCCTTCGTCTTGACTGTTCTGGGTGTGGGTGTTATGCAGAGAAACTCGATGTCTCTCAAAGCCTATTCTGGTATTGTCACCTGGAACATCCCTCCTCCACTGTGGTCTCTTCATTCTCTGAGCAGTTATGCGGACGTCCGGATAGAGAGGAGGCAGGAGCTGGCTTTGGAAGACCCACCATCCGAGGCCATCCACTCCTCAGCACTAAAGGTATGAGTCTCTCCCACCCCCACCAGATGCATAAAGGCACAGACTAGCTGGGTAGAACCTTCCACGAGTTGTTAATGAAAATAGCATTGAGAGAAACAAAGCAGCTTCTATGGACCCAGCTCTCATTCTGCTCCCGAGGTGTTCAGAGTGTTTCTGGGGCATCTGCTTATTTGCCCCTTGGTAACATTCCTGTGAGGTGGGCACTGTCATTGTCCTGGTTCTTCAGATGAGGCACACAGAGGAGTTAGCTATGCAGCCAGGAGCACCCAAGGGCTCTGGATGCAAAGCACAGTTTGGCAGCTTTCCAAGCATATGAGAACAACTGCAGTAAGTCTGCTGTGCATTTCCCCCACAGACAAAGAGGCACAGAATAATCTCCTCCCATAGCCTCAGTGCCCGGTGCTGCCCTCGAGACTCGAGCACCCTCTGGGCAGACTGCCCCTCACATGCCCTGCGAGTCACCACTAAGGTGCACTTTCTATTTCTGTACCAGGGTCATGGTTACCAACTGCATTGGAGCCAGCTCTGTGTCAGGGAGCCCGATTATGAAAAGGCATTTCCCCCCTCAAAGCCTGTTACCTCCTTCTGTCCCCACCCTGAGCTCTCTGGCGCCTCCACCTGCCCTTGCTTCTCCCGGTTTGTCAGACAACACAAGCAAGAGCATCGTGTTAGAGGCCATCTTCAAGTAGGCCAGAGCCCTGTTCCTCAAAGGTCACTCTTAAAGCAGACACAGATGTTGGGAGGAGAGAAAGGGAGAAGCCTTTTACTTCAAAGCTAAGAAGCCGCTGACTGGCTGGAAGCTCCTCCGTGATTTTATCTCCTACTAAGAAAGAGAAGATGCTGCAGATAGATCTGTGAAATAAGGATTCATTTCCACCAGTGGAAAGACACATCCTAGTGTCAGATGTGTTCAAACGTGGGGGGCTGCCTCTTAGGATCGATGAAGTTCAAATTCCAGGGTGTCCAGTGACCTAGAATCCAGAGTCTTGGGGCACAGTCTGGCACAGCAGCCATGGTTCAGTGTCGCTCACCCCGAGGACACACTAGGAGGAAGGAGAAATCAGGGAGCCGTGGTGTCTTTGCATGCCCCTCCCCCCACACCGTGCAACATGGTAGTACGTTCTGTGGTGATTCATCACCAGCACTCAGACAGGGCACAGCTGTCATTGTTTATGGAAGTGTTTATTACCCCGCTCTGTCACCTAATGCATCATGTATCATGTCAGAGAGCAGAATTAAGCTGTTACTAGGCAGGTGTTAGACACGCCATACATCACGGCTGAAGAATGGGTATAACGTGTATCATCCATCAGAAATTCATCACGGAGGCTTCTGATCCTTGAGGATCCCTGGAGCCCTGTGGAACATCTTCTCATAAAAACACGCATGTGTATGAACACACAAACACAAGCTGGGGCTCCGGGTTAAGCAGCCCTTTATAGTCAAAGCTCTAAGACGCTGCTGCTCCAGCTTTGTGGTGGCACACCAGTGTGCCTTTTTAGTTTCCGATCTGTCACTGACCGTATTTGTAAAATACAGACTCTGGAGATGTCAGATGGCTATAAAAGTTCCTTAGTGCTTATTCTCACTTCCCAGGCTTGTTTCTCTGCTGACCAGGAATATACATGGATGATCTGCCTCTGCACATCCAGGCACATCTGGTCATTCTGTGCTGCCCAGAAGCCTGTAGGTCATGTGTCAGCCCTACCTGCATTCACGTGGTATCCACCCTCACTGGAGCCCTGACTTAAAAGACAGAACAGCCATGTAGAGTCACACGCACTGGATTTCATACCCAGGATGGTGGGACATAGACCAGTCTGTCAGTACAGCCCAGAGGATAGTGGCAATTTCCACCCTTCTAAGTCTAGGTAGGAGCATAGCTCAGCATAGCATCCACCACGTTTCTTCTTTAGCTCAAAAATTATCCTGTCACCTCTAAGCCACAAAAGGTGAAAAGATGGTTCCTTGGTGGTCTAACTGTCACAGTTGGTTTCTCATTCTTTCTGTATTTGAGAAAGAGACCTCCTGCAAGGCAGGACCAGGTAGGAGCCAGAGGCTGAAAGACAGGAGACCACGGGCCCTTCGCCTGTTCTCCATTTCAGGGGCACCAAGGCTTCCAGAAAGGCCCAGAGGCATCTGCTCCATTGTACATGCTCCTGGTCCAGTGCTGATAGCAGCCTTATTATTAGAACATGACTCATCCCTCTTCTTGGAAAACAAGATGCTGGGTAGTGAGTGACAATGTTAAGGAAAGAGGAAAAGGCAAAGTTCATTATTAAAAATCGAAAGCATCAATATAAAAGGTGAGGAAGGGTCATAGATACTGCTGATGGGCTGCAGGACTCTCAGTGACTTCTAGCTGGCATACATGTGTGTGTACGCCACCCAAGTGTACTTGGAATCGTCCCCACATAGCTATGGTATTTGTCTCAACAGCTTCCAAATTTTTCTACGTATTTAGAACCAAAATCACACCATTTATTCACATCATCTTGACGCTGAAACGGGGGCTTCTGTGTGTGTTTCAGGAAAAGGGCTCAAGCCTGGAACCTCAGCAGCACTTTAACGCACTTGATGTGGGCGCCTCCGGCCTCAACGCCAGCCATTCACCGTCGGCATCCTCAAGAAGTTCCCACAAATCTTCACACACAGCCCTGTCAGAACCCACCTGTGAGTGTGATTCCGCTGGTGGGGAGTGGGTTAGGGAACCCCCACCAGACCAGGGCGTACAGGCGTTATCCCCCGCAGGGTCCCAGGCCTGAGTCGATTCAGGGCAGTCCACGCCTCTGCAGGTGGTTCTCACCCCTCATTTCCTCTTCTGCTAACTTCCCACCTGCCAGTCACCTCCTTACGCTCTGGCATAGCACCAAGCTGAGATATAAAGCAGGTGGCACACAGATCAGATAACTTGGCTACTCGCAGTAACTCTGGAAAGGTGTTTGATCAGGCAGATGGTTGGACCAAGTGGTGAACCACGTGGTGGCGATGAAGGCTGGGGATTGCTCATGGCGTCTTCTCCCTGCGCCCATGCTGGGATTTTGTGGCTCAGATAAACCGCCTCCACCCATGGTGGCCTTCCCTCACCAGAGATTCCCGTGAAGCTCTGTGTCGTGCACGTCACTGTCATCATCCCCTTCTTTGGATGAGAGAGCTGGTAAGTTTAAGTCAGGAAGGTAATTCGTTGCTTTCTTACAGCCACTCCAACCAAGCTGATGGCTGAGGCCAGCACCCCGGCTCTGCCAAGATCGGCCACCCTGCCCCAAGAGTTACCCGTGCCCGGGCTCAGCCAGGCAGCCACGATGCCGGTACGTGTGTGACCCCAAACTTCTCAACAGGGGTACGCTATAGTGTGGCGGTGGCTGCAAAGCACAGGCAACAGGCTGCCTCTTCCCGAGAATCAGTTTTACTTAAAGATTGAGAGTGTGGGGTGGCAGATGGGGGTGGGAAGTTAAGTAATTTAATTGGCAACTAATTTTAAACACTTTTATGACAAAATTAACATGGATGTATATCCATAGAATACAGAATCCAAGTGAATTTTAAGGATAAAAACGCAAACCTGCCATCATGGAGCTGTAGCTTCAGAGCCGCTGGGGGCACCTGGTTAGGATGTCCCTGCTTTGAATCTATTTCCTGCCAGTGAAAATGTTGTAGAAGCTTAATGTCAACACAAACGTATCTGCATGGATCAGGCAGCGTCCCCCACTGTGTGACAGACCCTTCTAGGACATCAGGGAATGGCTGGCTTCTTAGGAAGCACTCAGGCTGTGTGTAAAGTCATTGATGTACAACACTGTGGCCATCTATTGCCATGTCACAAACCACACCTGACTTCAGGGCATAAAGCAACAGTCATTTATCTTGTCCATGGAGTCTGGGTCAGGAATTCAGAAAGGGCACAGTGAGGACAACTCTCCTCTGCTCTGTGGTGTTGGGAGTCTCTTGAGCCTAGGCTAGAAAGCCCACATCTCAGATGGTGTCTACACGTGAATGTCTGACTCCCGGGCGGGGGTTTGGCAGCTGGGCTCAGCTTAGGCCATCCACTGTGGACTTGCATGTTATCTGCAAACCTCGGGCTGCCCAGGTCATGGTGGCTGGATTCCAAGAAGAAATCTGGAGAACCAGACAGGCGCTGTATGGCCTTCTTTGTCCTAGCCTTGGAAGTCACATAGTGTGACTTACCACTGACGTACTCTTGATCAAAGCAATCACAGATCACCCACTGAGAAGGACATAGACCTCCACTTCTAGGTGAGAGAAGTGTCCAAGAATCTTAGGGGCCACATCCAGATGGTTGCCAAAGACCTGCCACCCATCCTCATTGACACTTCTGAGATGGAGCAAATGTGCTACTTCCCCACTGGCTGTCATCATAAAGGTCATGCGCACCCTGCTTGAAAAGCTTGGGTGACATCTTTTATTTTTTCAAATGGCATGTGACTAGGACTACATTCTTTCTCTCCAGGCACCTCTAGGTGGACTTTTAAGTTGTGCCTGCCCTTCTTCCAGAATCCTTCCTAGCCAGTGTGACTTGGTGATGGTGGCTGGGATGGTGTTCCAGAGTTCTTCCATTCACTCCCAGCTGTGCAGGGGACACACTTAGGAAAGCCTGGGCCAGCTTGTGGTTCAGGCCCATACCTGGAAATTCTCACCTAAACCAAGTTCTCCTGTTGTCATTTCCAACCCGTGCTATACTGGGTGACACTTTCCATCAGGGTTGCTTTTTATATTACTTAAGGACTAGGAGAAATTTGGGAAGAACTTCAGAAGAATCCTTTTACTTATCTTGTAAAAAACTTCAACAGCCCTTGACACTGAGGGTTCCACTTCTCCTTTCTCCACATCATCTCCCCGACCACCACCTTACCCTTCTGCCCTGAGTGACCACATGACAAGGATGTGGCTCAGTGTTCTTCCCAGGGGTCTCTCCAGAGCTACCAGGCAGAGGCTGGTGAAATTGCCCCAGTCTGGATGAGTTCACAGACACAGATACACATGGCAGGTCTGTCCACCTGCCTTAGCACTGACCAGAAAAGATAAATGTGTGGGGAGCCGACTCGGAAGTTCATCAGTTTGGGAGAAGGGAAAAGAGTAATGGAATCCACCAAGGCTGGCGTCTAGAGCAGCGTCCCCTACTCGGGCAGGCAGCGGCGGCCTTGTGGAGCACCCAGGGTGGGAAGGAATCATGGACCCTGCATGGTTCAGAGGCCACCTGCCCCAGCCGTGTGTCAGCTCTGAGCACATGCTCTGCAGTGAGTGCAGCAGGAGCAGATGCTGTGCCTGCTAGGAGCCTTCATCCTAGTGCAAAAGGGCCTCCATGAAGCCAGAGAACCCAGCCAACCAGGTGAGTGCATCCTGAAACAGGATTAACCAGGCCCCTTTCTCCTCCCCAGGGCCCCCTGCCTTCCCCGTCATCCTGTGACCTCACACAGCAGCTCCTGCCACAGACCACGCTGCAGAGCCCACCCACTTCCATGGCACAGGTGAGCCTGGGAAGGGGGCATAAGCACTTCCTCGAGGCAGAGGCAAACGGCTGTGTTGTGCTGAGGTCAGGCACATAGGTGCCAGCCAAGGCCCTGTCTTAGGGACAGTTCCTTCGGGTGGATGTGCACGTGGGGCGTGGGAGTCATGTTCATCCTACACCCATCCCCTTCTGCCGGTCTGTGTTCCCCGGATGCATTCTGCACGTTCCTTCCCTATGTCTGCGTTCTGATTCTTTCAACAATCTCTGTGCATCTCTCTGCCACCTTTCCACATTCCTCTTATTTTTCATGACTCCAAATTGGCCGTCATATTTTAGGAAAGACCTCAGTTAGGCCAAATGTCATAGAAGACTCTGACAAGATTTAAAAGCTATGAGTTCAATACCATAAATATCACATTTGGTTAAAAAAAAAAAAAAGGAGCAGGGAGTGGGTTGTGGCTTTGCTGAGGAATTCCTTCCTTGTTTCAACAATATTCAGTGAGTTACTCTTTTGGCCAGTCAGCAAGTGAGGTGTTCAGGAGGTAAAGATGTCACTCAGCCTTGGTGTCAGAGTTAGAGGGAGAGATGGGTATAGGAACAGAGAAAGACACCACCCCTGGCAGGGCAGTTAGAAAACATTCTGCCTAAGGGAGTCCAGCATGGCTTTCTGGAAGAGGTGACACTTGAGTTGGCCCTAGAGGGCTGGGTAGGAGGTTGCCAGATGAAGAGTTAGGGGAACAGCAGGGAAAAGGGGCCCAGGCACGGGCTTTGACAGGAAGTTATGAACACACCTGATAAGCCTAGGGCCTGGAGACAGGCCAGAGGACACAAGAGCCATTCGGTCTTGGTCACAGAGGGCAGCTGAGCTGCTGAGGCCAACACTTTGACTTCAGTTTTCACATAGAGCATTTAGCTCTGCCCCAATCCCCGGCCACGCCTTCTTAGTCCTGGTGCACATCTGTCGGCACTGACAAAATGTACTTCGGAGCATATGCCCTCTTAGCAGGGGTCCCTGATAATTTCCTAGAATAAGAAAGACATACACTAGCACATGCTTCTTGCTAAAGTCGGGCTTGAATAGTGAAAGCTACTCATGCCAAGTCTGCTGATGAAATTGTCTATATTCATCCTCCTTAGGCCAATAAAAATACTGTTTTCTTCAAATTTCCAAGGCATATTTGGCTTGAAATTAGCAAATATCTCATTCCAAAAGTACATGAAATGAAAATTTCTTTATCATCTAGATCTTGCATATAAAGAATGTCTGTTCATAACCGTAACAGTATACTTAAAGCCCTTTGGAAATTCTCATTTTTCTTTAGTAAACTTAATAGTAACTGCTCTTTGGGCAGGCATGGTGGCTCATGCCTATAATCCTGGCACTGTGGGAGGCCAAAGCAGGTGGATTGCCTAAGCTCACAAGTTCAAGACCAGCCTGAGCTAGAGCAAGACCTCATCTCTAAAAATAGCTGGGCATTGTGGCAGGCGCCTGTAGTCCCAGCTACTTGGGAGGCTGAGGCAAGAGAATTGCTTGAGCCCAAGAGTTTTAGGTTGCTGTGAGCTGTGATGC